CAAAAATAGCGGAGAAAGATAGATATATAAAATGATATTAATCAGTTAATGTCAACATTTATCAATAGCATAGCAAATGTTGATAACACTGATGGCAAGTTAGATAACTTAATAGCTAATTTCACTTTCTATTCTTACATCTTTCTATTCTTACATTCTTTAATAGTTGTTAAAAAAAGTGGCAGTGTAATTTCTTCAGTAAAAATAATATATAATTAGCATATCAGTAAATCACTTTTACTATAACCATTGATGTCTTAGAATTTATCTTTCTGCAAGAAAGGACTTCTTCGCATTCATATTAGAGGAAGAAATTCACTTATTTCCGGCTAATTATTTATTTTGATTAGATCACTTTGCTGAAGTGGTCTTGTGCTCATATAACTTTTGATAAATTATTAAATCAAATAAATATGAAATTATCATTTTCAAGGATTAATCTTAAAAAAGATTAAAATTTACAAATAATATAGTATAAGAATTAATTTCGTATTCTTTTCGATAATTAATTTAATAAAATATTTGAAAATAAATCATTAATTACAATTAAAAATTATAAATATTTAATTTATATTTGATAAACAATTAGATATTTATACAAATTAGATATTTATATTTGATAAACAATTGATAAGTTTAAATTAATCAGTTTAATTAAGTGATTAATCGTTTTCAAATTGTAAAAATTACCTTCCTATTGTTTTATGATTTATATATCTCTTTAATTTTGAAACTGAAAACTAAATTTTTTTAAACTGAAAAATGAAAATAAACTTTTTGGCACAAAAAAAGTAAGAAAAAATGGATGAATGAATGAATGAGTCAATGAATCAATGAATCAATGAATGAATGAATCAATCAATGAATCAACGAGTCAACGAATCAACGATAGATAGTGATATAAGGAATGAATGAATGAATCAATCAATCAATCAACGATAGATAGTAGTAAAAGGAATGGATAAGTCAATGAATCAATCAATCAATGAATTATTGAATGAACGAATCAACGATAGTGATAAAAGGAATGAATGAATGAATGAATCAATCAATCAATCAATCAACGATAGATAGTAATAAAAGGAATGAATAAGTCAATGCATCAATCAATCAACGAATCAATGAAACAATGAATCAATGAATCAACGATAGATAGTAATAAAAGGAATGAATAAGTCAATGAATCGATCAATGAATCAATGAATCAATGGATGAATGAATCAATGAAACAATGAATTAGTGAATCAACGATTGATAGTAATAAAAGAGTAAAAGGATGAATTGAGATAAGAGATTAGATGCAACCAATACTTTCGTCTCATTCTGAAGCAAACAGAAAAGCAATTGGTGTCCATCTCTGTCCATTCCATTCCATTCATCTATTCCCATCCGGTTTGTTTGTTTGTCTCGTTGAAGGAAATAGTTAATGGTGGTTGATAGGGCGTTGGTATTAGCAATGTTTATATTGATTTCAAAATTGCCAAAATGCTAATATATAAAAAAAAGAACTCAACGAATGCGAAGTCAAAAGCAGAGTGAAAAGAAGAAATGAAACTTTGAAATTGAAGTGAAGCACTGATACACTGATATTATCAGCCTTATCAGTAATGAATTCCATTCGAACAATTAGCTATTAAGTATTTCTTTATCATCCTATCTTTTTGCTGATAGTTCACTTAATCATTTAATTATTCGATATATCATTTTTATTGATTACAAATTTGTTTTATCATTTGATAGGATCAAAATTATCTATGTTTATTGTATTGGAAGAAATTTAATATTTTATTTCACCAATATCAAATTAGCTATTAATTAATTAATCAAAAGAACGAAGTAGTAATATCCCCATGATACGTATTAAAGTATTTCGATATTATCATTAATCATTAACACCACTAATATCCTATGATTATCATCACACGAATATGAGATATATTAAACTGATATAATGATAAATTATCGATTATGAATTATTTATTATTTCCGGAGGAAGAATCATCTTGGATGCAATTTCTCATCATATCTAACCTATGATTGATAAGATTAAAATGATCTCTTTTTCTCAATAAAATCTGGCAACAATATCAGTGATTCTGATCAAAAACACATTGCTTATGCACTGATAAGTTATTAAAACATGTTTTAATGAGATTAATAAATTTTCACATTACATTTTACATTCAATAGAAATGCCAAATGAACTACCACAATACTAATCTTTTGCTAAAAAGATCGTGGAGTAAAGCTGCTACTATTGCAACGAATAGAAAAGATAAAATTATCATTCCACTGTTATTACAATTGATAATAAAGGTTAAATCAAAATGATTTTCATAAAGGTAAGAGGATTATTATTAATTTGTCCACGAAATCCATTCAATAATGAGAATGCCATATTATCAATATTCAGAATATCATAACACATACTCCAAATAAAGGATTTGAATTATTTATACATTTCTATTCCATCCATTTCAAATTCTCCAAATACTAAATTCTACAAATCAATTATACACACGCAAATATACGTACGTACGTGGATCATTTCCTCTTTGTTGATTTCTTTTTTGTTTCTAACAAAAAATATGGCAACCATTGCTACAAGCAATGCTGCAAAATGAATGATTTAGAATCACTGCTGCAAATGGAATGATTTGAATCATTGCTGCAAGTGAATAATTTGGATCATTGCTGCAAATGAGTAGTGAGTGAATTAATTCAAATCATTCACTGCTGCAAATAAGCGATTCAGATCATTATTGCAAATGAATGATTTGTATCATTGCTGTAAATGAGTGATTCAGATCATTGTTGCAAATAAATGATTAGAGTATTGCTACAAATAAATAAATCAGATCATTACTGCTGTTATCAGTCGTGCAAAAACAATACCGCAAGCTATTGATAAGGAAACGTATTTCAGACAGTTATTAATTGAAGCTATGCGTAATTGACGAAAATTTGCGCCTTGTTGAAAATGTCAAATAAATGCTTGCACTAAATAAAATGATTATAGTTTATTTAATTCTGGAGAAAAGTTTTCTTCACAACAGAAAATCCAGTTTATGGTGTTCAATTTCACAATTTCATCAATTCCACTTCTTCCTTTCGCCTAAATAAACTATTAGAGGGAGAGAGAGAAGGAAAAAAAGAAGATTCAATTTGAAATTCAATAGCAGAAAATAAAAAATAGTTGCGATGATAGAAGTTGAATTATAGAGCTCAATAACAAAACTTGATATTATCATTCTACTGTAGTTTCTAAATGCAAATCGTCAACAATTTTCATTTAAAATTCGGCCACAAAGAGGATAAAGCGATCTCAGAAATTTAATTAAACGAAGGATTAATTAATGTCAGTTAATGTTGAATATATCGTATTCACTTTAAGGCATGATTTATTTTTAAAATAGATTTATTGCTAAGTTGTGTAAATTACACTAATTCGATAAGCTGCTTTTGCTTCCTCATAAACTTAAGACATTGATAATTGATTAAGCTGTATCATGTTGAGATATATATGATACAAAGAATATATATACACTCCTATATTCATACTTCGTATTCATTTGAAAAAAATAACAATGGAGTGAAATTAATATCTTAGACTGGAAGATCAATAACCATTAAATAAACAGGAATGAAAATTGAAGAGAGAAATAACTAATTGGAATTGGCTAATTAAATGGGCCGAATGAATTTAATTTCTTTCAGATCTTTAAAAGTTTAGAAATTTTCCGCCAATCAAATTTTCATTTTTCAAATAAATAGTTTATGAACGAATTATTCCCTCTATGTGTCATCTTATGCATAAAATTATTTCAATACAAATCGAAAAAGTCAAAAAAATGTCTGGAATATTTATTTGTCAACAAAGTGAAACAGAGGAAATTAATGGTTACACGTATATAAAAACATATTATAAAATCAAATCATGGTTATAAACACTTGCATCTGAAAGAATGACTCTTTCCAGGATGAATTTAGCGAGATCTTGATATTCGACGCTTTAATATATAACAGTTTCTCAATTCCATGACTGAATTTTTTTAATAGAATCTGATTTGCACATTTCCTGGAAGAATCCGTTATCGGAGTATGATAGATTAAAATTAAAATAATTTCAGAGCATGTAATTGCAACAAATGAAGTAATAAAAAAAGCTATAAATGAACGTAAGTGAGTAAACAAGATATGGGATATGTAAAATCTTAAATGTAACAACAAACAAATTCGAATACGGTAGAATACACATGATAAAGTGAAAAGTAAACGAAATTTAAATTGAATTATAACTTGAATGAATGCATCCTTATTGTATCATCCACTGCAATAATGTAATGAACAATGGCTAACGATCTATGCCTCTCAATGATTTAATTAATTTACCAAATGCACATACATCTGCGCACTCCTACTTAGCAGTGAAAACAAGAAACGAGCGATTTTGCTACGAAAACATTTCTGCTATCCTACTAAAAAACCTTTTTTTGAATGTTTTAACAATAAATGGAACTGCTTTCAGGAAAATGTGGCAGTTAAATTAAAGCAAAAATAAAAAAGCGAAATGAGAGGAACGGGAGGGAAAGAGCCATTTCAGAGAGTAATTTGATGGAAAAAGTTCTGCAAAATATTCTCAAGAGAGTGTGCAAAAGTATGTGTAAGACGTTGTTCCTTACAAACTGGAAGTTCCAAAATTAACTGTCAATAAAATTTTTAACAACTGCTCCATAAATGAAATATTACAATGTAAGGTATGGTTAATGTGAATTCAAGTGAAGATCTTCGTGGCACCACCAGTGAATATGGGCGTGAGATTTCCTCGCCTTGCCTGAAGCTTTCTAAACATAATTTCTTAATATCTTTCAGCTTTACTCAAGAAAACGTTAAAAATTTTGAAAACTTTCAAATTCATAATTAAAAGAAGTGATTTAGCTGGAAGGAAATCATCTCTTACATTAATCTGAATATGAGATAAACATAATGTTATCACTTCATTACTGAAGAGTGTCATCGTTCATTTCACTTGTCAACTTTTCAGTCGGTGAATCGGGTTCATCTATATCCATTATAGTTCCATGCCACGACCATGAATTTAACAAATCATCCGTGCCATTTCTGATGTTTGTGATATGAATATTACGTGCTGCTGGTTTCTTCTCCACGACTTCGTCAGCTGGTTTCAATAACAGCGGTACATCATTGCCATATATCGTAAACCAAAGGTCAATGTAATGACCACGTAAACGTGGTTCCTGAAACATCATGACATTTAAAGCCATTTATTAGTTATGATAAGGGAGAGCTTATTTCAAGAAATCCGAGCAAAATTTTGACTCTAGATTTTCTGATTTATGGGAAATTAACCTTTTATGAGTTGAAGAGTACAATAGAAAATACAAAAAACATTTATGTTTCCTGTACTCAATTGTAACTGGATCATCCCTTTTCTTTATCAAAATAATTTGTCGTTAAGGAACAAATCATTTCATTTTTGCTAAATTAAAATATTGAGTATTTATTGGATAAGAGATAGAAAAACCGTTTTAGTATCACTGATCTGGGCCCATAATTTGATAGCTATGTCATGCGATAATGACTTCCATATTGTATCGCCTTCAGCGCTGAAAGGATGACAAAAATACTCTATTAAATATTTTACTTTTTAAATAAATGCTTCAATAATACGCTCTCTACAATATACCGACGTAAAACAAGAGTACATAGTTGAATTAAAAAAAGGAAATTTTGTGCGAGAATCAGAATTTCGAGTCTTGTCTGTAAATTTAACAAACTTTGTGCTATCAAAAATGTCTTCCTGTAAACAATTTAAACTGGAAAGATTTAATAAAAAGTACATCACATTTGCCGAAAATCCTGCAAGCAGTGCCAAAAATCATTACTAGGCAAAAAAAATGAAGGAAAAATCCAAGAAGCAAAATAAGTTACTCTAATCTCAAAATAGAACTTTTCCAACAAAAATAGCAATCTGATCTACGTATATTATTAAAAAGAAAGAACCCCAAAATGATGCAAAGTGGTGGTTTAAGTGATAGCTGAGATGCAACATAGTAGCGTACAACCGGCTCATTATCATTGATGCATAAATCTATTAATCTATTGATAACATCACCAACGAAAGATGGTGATTTATGTCGATAAACCATGTCTACCAGAAATGTCAGCGCTGCGAGACGCATCTGAAAGCCTATCACTTTCTTAAAGCACATTTTTAGCGATCATTGCAGTGGTTAGAGTGAATTGATGAGTTCACTCTAACTACTGCAATGATCGCTTTTAGCAATCTTTAACAGAAAATCTTACAAATCAGTCTTCTAAATTTTCAGAATAAAGAATTTCTAAAATAATTATAAAAATTAACAAGAGCAAAAATATACATTTGTCAAAACAAATCTTAAAAATCTTACCGGCACATAAATATTGGGCTGTGCAAAAGACCAAAATACTTTGGAATCAAGTGGTATATGAAATGTTCGCTGCATCTGCAATAATCGATGTCATTTAATTTTACACACGGAATGTGAAAGGAAGACATGAACTTTATTTTTAGCTGAAGTGAGCAATACGTCATTTTTATTAGGAACCCGACAAATACTTACGTGATATATAGCTTGAAGTGCAGTAATTCCAATAATACGACCAAAACTAGGTTTCAGTGTATCCATATTTAAAGCAAGGGTGAATTCAGACAACAATTCCTTCATATTCGTACTCAGAGAAAGAGGGCTCATATTTGTAACATCCCTACTCTCAGCTGGTACCAGTGTAGCAGCTAACGAGTTTATAAGTGATGCTCGATAATGGTCATCCGAGTACCTGGAAATCCTTTCAAATCTTCAAAAAAACTTCAATGCTTCCAATGTAAAATTCTAATTTGAACTCCACTGATTGAAATACTTCTTAATTCGAAAACTATATATTTGAATAAAGAATTGCTTTTACCTGTTCACAGTATTGTCATTATATTTAACTAAACCAATAAGAAAGTGATGAACTTCTGAAGGGATATTATTTGAAGGAGAACGCAATCGTGCTAAAGCTTGAGGTATTGCCTGCAAAACAAAACTTCAGCATAGATAAGAAATAATCAGCATAGTAGACACCGTATAAACGAATTCAAAGAAAAGTAATGATAGCATTTTTAGAACTGAAGTTTAATGCTTTCATAAACATGAGTACATTTCGAGACTTATTTAATTTTTGGCTATCTGTTGTTGCTGCAAGTGTTTTATCTACTTTGTTAATGAAAATGTAAAATGAAATTTTCAAAATTTAAAATATGGATGCTAAAACGGCAATGATTTTTTGAGCTTAGAAGACATCAATAAATTTTGCTAAGCACAATGAAATAAAAGACAAACAACAGAAATGTACTGGACTGACATGCATCAAGAAGTATAGCTGCAAACTTGCGGAAGTAGCTACAAAATTGTTTGGTTTTGGAATATGTGGCGCAGATTTACAACCAAATAATTTCTTGAACAAAATCATCAGGGCCGGTGGACCCAGCCATGTTTCTGGCAATTTATTCACGACTTCTGCTAGAACATATGCAGCTCGGCATCGCACTCTAAAATTTCAAGAAATTGATAAATGGAATAACGGCGAAAGCGCTTGATGAGCTGTTTCAGTTCATTGCGTCATATTCATCCTCAAAAATACTTGCCGGTAGAAGAAAACTTCGGTTTCGATGGTTTCAATAAGGACGACTCTAGCATGTGGACTTGGAAAACGTTGTAAAATATCAAGTGCTTGAAGTTGTGCCAAGACGTCCCGTTCATATTTCAACATATATTCCCACTGATAAACCGGTTGCTGAATGCTAACTTTTCGCAGCAAAAGTAGATCAGGATCAATCCTGGAACTAACCGTCCCAAAAAGAAAAATAAAAATTATAAGGATAATCACGAAAATGTAATTCTCTAAAGATTTTTTCTAGCAAACTCTAAAACCTGATCCAAAGGACAGGAGAGTCAGGATCCATATTTGCGAGATCAATTTCAAGTTCTTCACCAGTCGAAAGTGGAATTTTCTTCTTCTTTTGCCTTCGTCCCTATAATGTGCGATTTTAATAGCACAAATGGTAAATAGAAATATAAGCTAAGGAAATGAAAACCAAATAAAACGAAGAAGGAATGCATTTTAAAGGAGAACAAAAACATTGAAAATTTTCTAAATCAAAACAATAGCTCTGTTCATTATAAAAAGAAAAAAATAGCAATATATCATAGATAAAAACACTTAATTCCAATTCGTTGAGCTAAACTAAACGATCAAAAGATAAGATTCTACTAAACAATAAACAACATTGAAAACAGAAAACCTTTGAATGGCATTGAAGATCATGCTTGGAATGATTGGAATCAATCTGCACAGTATGCGTGAACGATCCATCTAATTCTTGAACCGCAACAATTAATGGACCAACATAACTAAAATACACTGATTAAATGATCCATCTATAAAAAAGTCCTTTGATCAGTGCCACAATTTCCTCAGAAGACCAAGGGATCCAAAAAAAATCCAAAATGGAATTTTTTGAATCTTTACTTAATGCAAGAGCACATTACATGACATTCAACAAACCTTTGCCTTCCACGATTCGCAGAAGGTTCTTGCTTTACTTCAAGTTCAATCATATTTCGTTTACGATTAAAAGCATATTGCACCTGAAATACCACATTTCAAATTGGAGCATGAAAAAGATTTAAAATCGCGATTAAGCGGAATTAAAAAATAGTTATATAATACGAATAGTTTTATTTTAATTTCTGGACTGAAATCTACTTTTTCTTGAGAAAAGTATAAAAAACAAAAATTGGAATCTTTGCAGAAAATCCGTTTTTTGAATATTTTAAGATATTGGAGTCATTTGTGTTAACTGCTGCTTTTAAAATAAACTCACATGCTTTTTCTACTGTTTTAAAAAGCTACTCTACCACTAACCCAAAATTTTGCATGTCCACCATTATGAATCCACTGCTCCAGAAATGTTGGCAATTCTTGGCCAGTAACACTGGAAACGGTACGAAAAAACGATTCCGTTGAAACGGTCATATGCTGCCAATTAGCTGGCTCCTTCTGCAGTTGGCTTGCCTGCATCGCTACACTCAGAATTTTCTGTATGACCTATAACTGGGTGTGCTCGAATAATTGGTGGCTTAACAAGTAAATGAATAAAGTTTTGAAAATTGCTTTTCTATGATATTTTTCTTTTTCCTCGGAAATGACATGAGGAATATTACAGTGACATATAATCAATTCTCGCCAGTAAAAGACATTTTATGAAAAGTACAAGCAATAAATATAATGAAACATTCAATTTAACCTGCAAAAACGGTTCCTTGCCTAAACGTTGGTTAAGCATTCGCATGACAAGATGTCCTTTCTTGAATAAAGCATCTACATAGAGAGGAGAGCATGTGTATGGATTTCTTGGATCAAAATGTAAATACTGCTGAAAAATTAAAAGCCTTCGAAGATAAAGAAAATTTAAGCACCATTACCCTTACAACCAACAATCTGCTTTTTGAGTCTGCGTATGTAATAATTAATTTTGGCTAAACTAAATGATGTAAAAAAAAGGGAAAAACAATCGTGTTCCACTTCTTGTATGTTATTATACTCAATATTTTTTTACTTTGCAAATACTTTCCAACTTGAGGATAATTTGGACACTTATATATAAGATGAAAAAGCCCACCTTGTAGTTCGTGTTTGAGGGACGCAAAATAATCTTTCCCCAACGTGTTTCATAATCGGAAACACAATTCAGCATTTTATTGATCTAAAATTTTTTATGAGAATATTCATAACACTATTTTCGAAAAAATTTGCAGATCATACCTGGAAGAGATTTTCAGAAAAACCGAAGAATCGCTCTACAAACATGCCGGTGACAGATCTGCAAATATTGCATCTTAAAAGAGACAACATAACCAAAAATCAAATTTTCTGAAAGCTAAAAACCATTTATATGTATTCTAAGAAATATAACTTTCTGAAAGATTGACAGAGTGGAAACAGAATTCCCAAAAGTTATTCCCTATTCGATTTTTCTGCTTACTGCATTGCAAAAAAAAGATAAATTCAAAAATTAAGATTCAATCTCTCTTCTGGTTCTTAGCAATTTAGTTGCTCACTTCTCACTCTTCAAACATTTCCTTTAACTGAAATATATCTACAAAGAGAGCTGAATTTACAAACCTTGCAAGCGATGAAACGAGCCAGATATCTAACCAGCATGTTGAGGTAACAAAACATCCGAAGAATTGTTGCGCTACTGCATAAGCAAGGCACTGACGCGTCATCTAAAAACAAACGATTATTTGCAAATAGAAAATTGGCATTACTTAAAAAAAAAGCATCTAGGATCAAAAATTCGAGTAATGTAATTCAAATTTAACCGAATTTAATTGAAGTTTCATCATGATTAGTTCCAATATACTAATCCAAAATTTGAATAAAAATTTACTTGAACAACATCCAAAATTTTCTTATGATATAATAAGGTAAGCGAGAGTATTGACAAACCAGTGTAAGCTGTAACTTCATCGGGAACCTGAAAATAAATCTCGAAATAGAATAAAACAAATGTTATAGAAAATAAAAAATTCCTAATTATTCAAAGCTCTACAATATTTTTAACACCATTCAAACCAGATTGAAATCTCAACACTTTCACAAAATTTTAGCTTTTTTGCTCACCAAATATTTCTCTGCAATTTTCTGCTTCTACTTCTCATAAATAGGGGGTGTTCAAAAAACTCAAATTAAATGATTTAATATTACGAACTTGATAAACGAAAACTTGTTTGTAGGATGAAAACGGGAATCGACAAGAGAGGAGCTCTTCAAAATATTCAAAAACTCGATCAATAGTTGCAGTTGTATGCTTTACGAGAGGATATAGGGACGGTAGTGCGAAGCTTGTTATCTGTAAACGAATGTAAGGTTTTATGCCATTTTAAAATCTTACTTCTAATTTAAAATGATATAAAAGGCTGTTTATATCATTTTATAAAATTTTACAACGCCAGCAATTTGTAGCAAAATAAAACAAAACCATACTTCAGGCATATCAGGATGCACAACTGGCGTGAAAGAACCAACCGCAAAACCGATATTAATCGCAGAGGTTGGTACTAAAAGTTGATAATGATAAATTTTTTCTTGTAAATCGGTTGTATACTCCGTATCCTGCAAGAATTTAGTCACAAAGGCTCCTCTACAAATTGTCTTTTCTGCGTTATAAAAAAAAATAAAAAAATTCTTCAACATGCTGGTGTTCACAGCGCATTGGGGTATGATTTCAGGCCTAGCAATATTACACTTATTTTCAAAACCGGCAAATATCACTGACGTGCAATAATATTGATACAGTGAGATGAATAGTAGCGTAAGTCTTGATACGGTGAGATGAATAATATACCATCAGTTAGTTTATTTTTGAAAGAAATATAGACCGATAAAAGACTATTACATGGAGAAACAAAAAGACACTTACAAATAGTTCACCACTGGCAACTACTGTAAACATAAGACCAACAGTTGCTTCGATTCGCCATAAGCATAACTGATCAGGCGTATCCAGACAAGGCAGCCAGTGACGAGTACTCGACAATGTACATGATCTAAAAAAAGATAAAAGATACTTCTGTCGATAATTCTTTGTCATAAGTAAGAAGTCAGTAAAACAAAGGCAAGTGATCAATAAAACAACGAGTTAAAAATTGTGTTTCTTCGATTTCAGATTCAAAAAACGAATTCTATTCTTAAGAATTTCTTTGAAAAGATGATGGTCACAAGATTGTACAATGTGCAAATTAAGCAGATTCCTCATTACATAAAGATGTACCTATAAGTGTACATATGTGCACCACTCTCCAAAGTACCGTCATCAGAAAATGAACAAACAAAGTGTATACCCTGAATCAATCATAAATAAAAATGAGTAGGTAAGCAAGCAAATAATAACGCCTAGAAAAATTATGCCAAACCTCTAAAATTCCACAAATTAAAAAGGTAAGCTCTTTTTAGGAGATGAAACTCAATAAACATTGGATTATGAAAATAGAGAAATGAATGAACCAAAAATATTATATTTATGAAAGTAGAGAAATGATTGAACCAAAAATATTTCATGTAGAAAATGCATATCGAAATTAACCTTAAATTGGTTTCCTCGTTCATATTATTATATTGCAAAAACTTGTCAAACTTTAATTAAAAATTATGCTGAGGCATTTAAAAAGTTCAGCAATTGAAAAACTTACATGCTTCGGATTAACAACTTTAACATCAATTGCAATTTTGATAACCTTTTGTTCATCCATAAGTATATAACAGCTTTCTGGGACACTAATTAAAAGTTCACCCTCACAATCTTCTAGCTCATCGTACATATCATGTGAAAGCCTGTGCAAACTTTGTTCCGCTTTGTGACTCAATATCTAAAAGTTTATTTCATACATAATAGAACTCATTGAAAATTATGTGACTAGGATATATCTCATTAACTAATAAATCTCATAATAAGAAAATAAAGATCACCGAATAATCCTTTCGAAAATTTCCACATTTTTATTAATCAAATTTGCAGGGCTTCTCGTACTATTATAGAACTAACTTTGAGAGGATCCTTTCGAATATATTCTACATCTTCGTCGTTTACAGTAACTCGGCCGGTAACACCTTCTGGGAATTCATTTGGCAATATAACATCTGCAAGAAAAAAAATTAGCTATTTTAAATGACATCTGCTAGCAAATAACAATTGTAAAAATACAGACAAGCAACAAACCTGGACCAACATTGAGGCAAATTTGTCGCAGTTCAGGGTGTAATGGTGCAAGTGAAAGCTCCGTAAAGACAGAAAATGATTGTTCTTTGAAGTTTACATCAGTGATAGAGACGTACTGCGACAAAACACGAAAGTTACAATTATGAAAGGAAGAAGCATCTTGTGGGCTCTCACGACGTACTGCAGATAGCATTTCTTCACTCATCGTTGGTATTACTGGATCAAGAACGTTGAGACCTGAGGAAGACGGAGCATCGACTTCCATTTTATTCTCATGCATAGCATGCAGTCACTTTTGAAACATTTGGTGCAGAAATTAATCACTGAGACTGATAAGTGAATAAAATTTGTATATACAATAATATTATAATAATATGCAGTAATATTATAACTGAAATTTGAAAATTAAAAACAGATACATATAGCGTAGACATATCTACCTAGTAGAAAAAATTAACAAAAAAATACGGTACCTTCTATTTTTACTATTAGTAAGTACGATAACAATATGTAAAATGGTGTAAATGACGCAAGAATTGTGTGATAGTATAAAGTAAAGCTCTTTCTCTTAACCAAAATCACTAAGAAATGTCGTAATGACGCTCATTCGTATTACATAAAATGATGTGAATAAATTAATTACGATAGCTCCAAAATTGTCAACTATTGGAACTACCAGAAGAGCTTATGAGTATACTCGGAAGATAAATGTCAATATATTAATGTGGTAAGTGTAATAAAACGACTTTTCCGGACCAATGATCTCGTTCATCCAACCTTTCTTTATTTAAATCGTTTAAAATGGCAGCAAAATTTTTTATTTCACTAACACTGGAAAACATATTTTGAAAACAAATCTTCATTACGAGCTAAATTTGCGAATTCCCTTACGTGAACGTAACACTCGCCTGGTAAAGTGGTATTAGTATTGCCACCATGAAGCGAAAAAGGCGCGGGCAGTAAATTCATTGCAGAAATTTTCATAATTTCATTTATGGTAATAGTTGTAAGGGATGGGTGTAAGACCTTTCGAGCATATTCATTGGTTCTTCTGGTGGTTTCCCGAGTATACTCATAAGCTCTTGTGGTTGTTTCAGTAATTGACAGTTTTGGAGTTTTCGCAATCAATAAAAGCCATTGGATTTTTGAACAAAATTCTCGGACTTTTTAAAGTATTAAGGGCTGTTAAGACCTTAACAATCAGTTACATTTATCAAATTATCCGACTGAAGCTGTCAGGTTTTTAATCGATAACAATTGCAAAACATTTCTGATACATTAGATTTGCAGGATTTTTGATCCAATTTTTCCATTTTACTGTCAAAGTTTTCCTAGTTATCGATTGGAAAAATTAATCCAACGGAATTCTTCCAACTTCTCATTTATATAATAGAATTGAAAAAAGAAAAACTAACTGTTAACATACATAGAATAGTTAAAAAAAAGGAAAGATGGAATTGAGTAAAATCAATTACGATATGATAAGTTTCAATTTCGAAATTAAATTCTGTTAACCGTAATCATTCCACATCATTCCACGTAAAAATTCATTCCACAAAAAATTTCAGGAAAAAAATTTTTTGATAATATATAATTTAAAATAGTAACATTCCATAGCTTTACAATGTAATAAATGCTTTAGACATTTCTCTCTTTTTCTTTTTTTCATTATCTTTAAATCAACGAAATAACATGAAAAATTATTTTTGAAATTCCAAAAAGACATTACGATTGAATGAATGCTAAAATTTGCAATGTTTAAATTTTTAATTTTAAATCTTTAAATATAAAAAAAATATATATATATCGATGAATGATTATGTGCAATTGCACATAAAATTCTATCCAATTAAATTTCCATCGATAATTATATGAATAGATGATTAGTTGTTAAAATGATACTTAAAGAGAGAGAATATTTTATGCCTGAAAAAGCCTTTATATTTGTCATGCTTATTCTAATCAATGTTAGCTAAGGGAAAATTGTAAAAATTCATAGTTTCATCCGATTCGATTTCATTCTTAATTCTTTATATAAATTCTCAATTATCATCAGCAATGACAATTGGAGTTTGGCGAAATAGCAATTGAAAATTCTCACTCTCATCAATCTTCTATATATTACTCACTTTTTTTTTTTCGTTAGATATAATATTTTAAAATAATATTTATACATCATTAAGTTGTTTTCGAGAAAATGAAAAGCGGAAATCGAATTTGTATGTTATTTATAAAAAACCTTATTCACTATTACTATTATTATTATTGTTATTAATAGTATATTTTGTTATAAATAGATATTGATGATAATGAGGTTTTGTTACAAATAGATATTGATGATAATGAGGTGATGATAATAATGATGATGATTTATAAATAACATACAAATTCGATGGTGATGATGATGATAACTGAAATGATGATAGATGTTTTTGGTATCCATTGTTGGTGATAATGAGGTGATGATGATGATGATGATGATAATGATGATGATAATTGAAACAGTGATAATTATTAATTAAATACGCTTAATAAATCGCATACACAAATAGACATATGTATACATACACATACGTATTATACGTATATAATTTTTTTTTTTCCTTTTTGCATTTTTTATTATTTTAAACTCATAACGATGATAATGCGATGTCTTAATTCGTAAAATAATTAATAAAATAGATGAATGAAATTAGTTTAGTATATGTTAATTGATAAGGTAATTTATCGATTAGTATATAAAACATTTTTAACAAAAGTATTTAATTGAGTATTTCGAAAATTTTAGAAAATGATTTAATATAACAATAAATAAATGATAAAATAATCTTTATAAATTCTATTAAATTAATCAAAAAATTTGAACAAATATAATATAATCTTGCATTATGTGATATCTCAGAAATTTCATCGCTTTTCTACGAAGCAGAAATTTCATCATTTTCCCACGAGACGAATATTTTTTTTTATTTTTATTGTTTTTTTTTTTGAAATGAATCTTAGAATTTATCGTTATTGATGAATTTTGAAAGTGAAATTATCGATAGGTTAAAAGTGCTCATACAATATCCATAAAATATCCATTTGAATGAAGCGTTTATTGAATACAATGAATTTCATTCCAGTTTGGTATTGATGCATGTATAAATATATGTACACGTATATATGAACACAATGAATTTCATTTCAATCCGGAATTGATGCATGTATAAATAAATATATGTACATATATATGCCTTTATTACACATGTTACGCATACAGTACTACTTTCATTACGCATGTTAAGCATGCATGTACTACTTTCATTACACATGTTAAGCATGCACGTACTACTTTCATTATGAATGTTAAGCATACACGTACTACTTTCATTACCCACGTTACGCATACACGCACTACTTTCATTATGCATGCATGCACGTACTACTTCATTACGCACGTTAAGTACACACATACAGAAAATAGGAAAGAAATTTCAATTATCAGTAATTAAAATTGTTATTTAAAATTAATCAATTAAACAATTACTTAACATCTTCAATTATTATTTATTAGTTTGAAAAATTAAAATGAAGTTTATTCATTTTCTTTTTTTGTAAATTCTTTTAATCCTGTACTTTATAATATTTTCATATTTCTGCAATGACAAAAAAGATTTGCTCCATTTTGAAAATATCAATATTGCAGCAAAAAAAGAAGATATTTTTCATAAATGCTGATGGAATATATTCTGATGAAATTGTTACTAATATATTATTGCCTCCTAGCATATATAGCTAACGATTCCGATTCCGGTATTATATCACATTCACTTGATTTAGAGGAATTGGAAGATGTTGTTTGCATTATTGCCTCCTAGCATATATAGCTAACGATTCCGATTCCGGTATTATATCACATTCACTTGATTTAGAGGAATTGAAAGATGTTGTTTGCATTATTGCCTCGTAGCATATGTAGCTAACGATTCCGATTCCGGTATTATATCACATTCACTTGATTTAGAGGAATTGGAAGATGTTGTTTGCATTATTGCCTCCTAGCATATATAGCTAACGATTCCGATTCCGGTATTATATCACATTCACTTGATTTAGAGGAATTGAAAGATGTTGTTTGCATTATTGCCTCGTAGCATATGTAGCTAAAGATTCCGGTTCCGGTATGATATCACATTTACTTGATTTAGAGGAATTGAAAGATGTTGCTTGCATTATTACTTCCTAGTATATATAGCTAAAGATTCCGGTTTCGGTATGATATCACATTTACTTGATTTAGATTTTATGCCTGAAAAAGTCTTTATACAATGGGATTTTATGCCTGAAAAAGCCTTTATGAAAGATATTGTTAATCATTAATTAGTAAATTTAAAAATTTGCTCGAAATTATATCGAAAAAAGAGCAAAAAAAATTTCATTCAGATGAAATCATCATTGATAACATCTATGTTTAACATTGATAACAATTTATTGATAACATTTAAGTTTTGAATTTTGTAGATAAAAATGAAGAGTAATACTTCATAAATCATTTCAAGAATAAAATTGTTTGAAATGAATTTTTTGATGAAATGATAAACAAATTTATTTTTTCAACTTTCTTAAGATTGTATAGTATTATCATAAATTATCATTCAAACGGTCATTATTAGATATGCGTAATATACTTCGCATCTTATCATAAATTATCCATAAATCTTATCATTAATTATACATCTTATCATGGATATGCGTAATATACTTCACATCTTATCATAAATTATCATTAATCTTATCATTAATTATACGTCTTATCATAAATTTCCATATTTTTATACTCAGTAGAAAAAAATGAAAAATTAAAAATCATAAATTATCAAATCTGTTCATTAAATCATAAAAATTTTTTTCGAATTTTTTAAAAACAAAGAGGAAAAAGCATTTTTGAGTAAAATTTAATTTCTTCAATGAAATTAATTAAAATTTCAAAAAACAATAAAAATGCTTTTTTCAAATTTCGCTTTTTTTGCGCTTACTTTCTAATGCTGCTTAGAAAATGTGTAATGAAATGAAGTTCTAAATTACTGAAGTGATAAGGATTGATAAAAATGAAAGCAAACAGATAAAATATCATATTTTTCAAAAGGGAAGAGAAAATTATGGTGTGGTACCACTTATTTGATAATTTTAAAATTACTGAATTGATAAAGATTGATAAAGATGAAAGCGAACCGATAAAATATCAGATTTTTGAAATGGAAGAGAAAATTATGGTGTGGTACTACTTATTTAATAATATTAAAAATTCTGAATTGATAAAGATTGATAAAGGTGAAAACAACCAGATAAAATTATTAGCTATAATAACAAAATTTTGAAATGGGAAGAGGAAATTATTGGTACCACTTATTTGATAATTTTGAAAATTACTGAATTGATAAAGATTGATAAAGTTGAAAGCAACCAGATAAAATTATTAGCTATAATAACAAAATTTTGAAATGGGAAGAGGAAATTATTGGTACCACTTACTTGAGAATTTTAAAAGGATTGTTATTTTGATAATTTAAATTGATAATTTTAAAAGGATTGTTATTTGTTTTAAAAATAGTAAACTTTTTTGAATGGCGAAATAATCATTGTAAATAATCAAAAAGAACTAGCAAGTTATTAATGAATTCGTATAAATTAATAACTTTGACTACGGTAACCTTTTTTTAAAACTTTTTTGAAGCAGAATTTTTTTTTTTGAAGAAAGAACTAAAGCGCATATAATATCTTTATTTGTAAATTGTGGCATGGCAATTTTCACAATCTGATATATTAGTTTTCCATGTAATACCTTTATTTGTAAATTGTGGCATGGCAATTTTCACAATCTGATATATCAGTTTTCCATGTTAATACCTTTATTTGTAAATTGTGGCATGGCAATTTTCACAATCTGATATATTAGTTTTTCATGTAATATCTTTATTTGCAAATTATGACATGACAATTTTTTCAATCTGATATATCAGTTTTCCATGTTAATACCTTTATTTGCAAATTGTGACGTGACAATTTCTTCAATCTGATATATTAGTTTTTCATGTAATACCTTTATTTGTAAAATGTGGCATGACAATTTTCAATCTGATATATTAGTTTTTAAGTTGAAATTTCAACAAAAAAAAATTGAAAATATTCGTAGCAATAATAAATGAATGAATTAATGTAAAATAATCCTTAAAATTTTTAATTACGATTTTATTAGCGATAAAAATTTTTGCGACAAGTTTATTACTTCCTTGCGAATACTTAATTTTTCATTTGGCGTAATTCAAGCCATAGAATTATTTTATGAATTCCTATTTATATCATTTATCGATTATTAAAATTGAATTCAATATGGTTTACATCATTTTAACCCATTAAAATTTGCTATTTTAATTCCATTAATTAATAATTTCCCCAAAAGTCTAATCAATCAATATAATCTTTTATCAGTTATTTATTACAAATACAATTACAAATACTAATATGCATATGTTATGTAATATATGTATGTATATGTATAAATGTATAAATATATGTAGTAAATATTTGCAATAAATATATATGTAATAAATATATAATAATATAAATATATAATTATATGTGATGAATTGAGCAATTTTTGTAGGATATTTTAAAAAATACGATTTTTGTAGGAGAAAATAATCGAGTAATTAAGTTTCAAATATAATTTACAAATGATATCAAATTATTTTTACTAAATCAGTAGTTGTTGTTGTTTTTTATCAGACGTTATTGTTGTTGTTCTATCAATTGTTATTGTTCCATCAATTATTGTTGTCGTTGTTTTATCAGTTGTTGCTGTTGTTGTTATTGTTGTTGTTGTTGTTGTTGTTGTTATTCTATCGCTTGTTGTTGTTGTTGTTGCTGTTCTATCAATTGTTGTTGTTCCATCAACTATTGTTGTCGTTGTTTTATCAGTTGTTGCTTTTGTTGTTGCTCTATCAATTGTTGTTGCTGTTGTTGTTGTTGTTCTATCAATTGTTGTTATTAATATTTTATCAACTGTTCCTTTTTTTTTTTCCTTGAAAAACTTAAAAACAATAAGGAGAAAGAGAGAGAGAGAGAGAGAAACAGAGGGTGAAGGAAAAAACAGTTTTAACAGAGAGTGAAGGAAAAAGAGGTAGAGAAAGAAAGAGAAATGAAATGGATTTATTCCTAAAAATTTTTAAATAACAAAAAAAGAAAAAAAGAAACGGAAGAATTAATTTTTTTCTTCGCAATTAAATTATTTTATCAAATTTAATTAAAATTTATCAGAAAAGAGCGAAAAGAAAACTTTTCCATTCTTTTATAATGTAACATTTATTACCAGCATATTTCCTCCTATTTCTTTCATCCTTTTTCCTCATTCAATCTAATTTACGGCGAAGAATTTCATTGAATTATGGAATGGATCAAAGAGGCATTCATCGGTTGAAACGATTGAATTGAATTGAATTTGAATTGAATTGAAGATTCTAAGCATCTTTTATCCTTCTTCTCCTTCTTCTTCGTTCTCTCTTTCTCATTATCCCTCTTTTCTTCTTATCTTTCGTTTATTAACTTAGAGCTAAAAACTTGATAAAAAAGTGAGAAAATTTGCAAAAAAGAATGAGAGAGAGATAGAGAGGGAGAGAGAGAGAGAGAGAGGGAGAAATCGATTTACTAAAAAAGGTTTTTGTCATATATGAATGAAGAAAAAGCCTAGCAAATCACTTGAAATGATGAAGAATAAGAAAATTGAATAAATGAAAAGAAGAAGGAAGAAAGAGAGAGAGCAAGAGAAAGAAAGGAAAAAAAACAAGAAAAGATTTCATAAGGTTAGTTTATAGAAGATATATATATATATATGTATATATTTATTTACTAAGCCTAAAGATTTTTGAATTCATGCCTGCCTATTCCCTCCTCCTTCCCCGCCTAACATTTATATCTAACCAAACCTTTCGTTTTATTTCTTCTTCGTCTTCTTCGCTTTCACCTTCTTTTTTGCCATTCTCAAAACATAGAAACTTAATTATGAAAAAGGCATAGGCTAGACTTACTTACTTACTTACGTACTTACCTACTTATTTACTTACAAACTAACCATTACTCTCTCTCTCTCTCCCTCTCTCTCTTTCTTTCTTTTTACTTCCTCCTCCTCTTCTTCTATAATATTTCCATATTTCACGTATTTTAACGCAAGTGAAAAACGTGAAATCTATTATAATATTAACAATATAAATTATCATTTTATTATTTTATATTATTTTTTATTTTCTAAGATATTTTTTTTAATAAAATAATTTATTGATCAATGATAGCTTTTCTTACTTTTCTATCTTATTATTATTATTATTGTTGTTATTATTATTATTGTTATTATTATTATTATTAAAAATATATAACAATAAAATTAAATATATAATAATTAAAAATATATTATTAAACATATAATAATAATAGTAATAATAATGATTATTATTAAGATGTATCAATAATTATTATTAAAATAATATTGAAGTATAATAGTAATAACAATAATAATAATGATTATAAATAACAGTAATAATAATAACAATGATAATAATAATAATACTGATAACAATTATTATTATTATCATCACTATAGCTATTTTATTATTATAGTTACTATTATAATTATAGTTATAATAGTAATAATAATAATTACTATTATTATAGTTATTATTATTAATTATTGCTATAATTATTAATTATTGTTTCATTATTTATTTATTCATCTTTTCCCTTACTTCTTTTGTTTCCATTAAAGAAGTGTAAAAGGTTAGAAATGAAATTCAAACTGGTAATGATTATTAAATAGAATTCAAATAAATCTATTATTAAATTAATTAAATTTCATTTAAAACTTATATATATGCATATTGGCTTCATTATTATGGTATCATAAAAGATATCAAGAAATCAGGAATATTTTCATAATTTTTCCTATCCTTCTAATTATTCATATTTTGGACTATTTCAGGAGATAATATTGAATTGTTATTATTTTTTTTCTCTTTGAAATTTTAATTGTTATATATGAACTGATGGAATTATTACTAACGTATTATTGTCGTTAGCATATATAGCTAACAGTTCCGATACCGATACGATATCGTATTTACAATATTACTATTAATAGTATCTGCAACATTTCAATACTTCATTATTAACATCGCGGCAAAATTCATCTGTTATTTTGCAAAATATTGGTGAAAATTTATCATCACCATCATTATTATCATCATCTACCATTTATCACACTTGTCATCATTATCAATTACAACAACGACAACAACAAAAACAACAAATCGTGCAGCTACAACAACAACAACAACAACAACAACAACAGCAAGAACAGCAACAATATTTTTCAACTGCGACCAAATCACAATCCAATATATCATCAGATGCTTTATCATTAGCATTACGTCGAAGACCTTCTGCGCGTTTATTTTGCGCTTTATTCCAGTACATTCCAATACGTGATTCACCGAATGAGAATCCGCAATTGGAATTACCTCTTCAAGTATGTAATTCTTTTATTAATATTTAGCTTGCATTTTTCATAGTAATTAATTGATTGATAATACTAATTCGGAAAAATTCGGATGATAATATACTTACTCAAGTAACTAATATCACTGATTCACTAATAGTATGAATTTGAAGGTTATTGCATTTTAAAATGCAAAACAAAAATGAAGTAATTAAATTGATATGATATTCAAGATTTTAACTATATATTATCATATTTCGAATTTATCGATAAATAGTACGATGTTTTGTGATTTCTCTTTTTCGAATAAATTTAATCAAAAATTTTGTTATTGAAAAATTTTCCACTATCATTATTTGATTAAATATTTTTACTGAATTACTCAATAACAGAAATATTTTTATATTTGCTCATTTTAAATTCCTATTTTAAATTTAAGTAAAAATTTTCTCTTCATAAATACAATATAGATGATGCTCAGGAAAAAGAAGAAAATTTTAGTTTTAAAAAAAATTTTTTTGAAACTAAGATTGAGGAAGAAATTAGCTTAGCCTAATACAGAATGATGAAATCTTCAAAGTACATGATTTAATGTTATTGAAGTTAGAAAATGGGATTTAGTTTGATACCAGCTGCCGTAAAATCTTTTATTTCACAAAAATATAATTCCATTTTTGTCGTTTCGATCGAAATTCAATTTTTTTGTTAACACTGTAAAAAGGTATCTGAAAATTTCCTTTTGATATTCTATTGCTATTCAATCAAAAAAGATGTTAAGATAATGAATATAAATCATGTAGTTTTACGATAATGAATATTAAGATTAAGATAATGAAAATAAGATTTAATGAGCATAATGATAATGAATATAACGAATATAAACATAAGATAATGAACATAAGATTTAATGAACATAATAAACATAAACATAAGATAATTAATATAATAAACATAAAAATACGATAATTAATATAATAAACATAAACATAAGATAATAAACATATGACAGATGGAAAATATTGAAATATTTTATATGGCTATATCAGTAATAACAAAAATTGTGAAATATTATCCGATGTTTATTTATATATATATGTGTAATATATAAGCGACTTTATACCGAATAATCCATGTAATCAAAGTGATGAATTCAACTTTTAATGCTATTCCATTACTTTGATTACTAAAAATAATTTGGATTAAAAATGAAAAAAAAGAGAAAACGAAGTAAAATGTTATTGAATTATTCCTATTTTTGGTGCTATTAAATGATGCTAATGAATGCTTATTTCATTGTTGGAATTTTACTTTAATAACTTTGATGAATATAATTCCTCGGACATTTCCGCTTCCAATCTAAACTTCATATTCTTTTAAATTTTTAGATAATAAATCATAGTTCTATTTTTTTTTCTTTACTTATATTTAACTATAAATTTTTTATTGAAATAATATTTTGCTTTAAGCTGATTAAGAATTATTTTATTACATCAAATATTTATTCATTATTAATTTTTTAATTAATTTAAATTAAATCTTTTCTTCTAAATACAATTACCAAAAACAAAGAAAAATTGTTATTGTTTCAAATAACTTCAGCTAATTTAAATATAATATTAATTAAGTATACTTATTATTATTGTTATATTAATTTCTTAGCAGTTCTTTCTTGTTATTTTTCTTTTAATTATTACAAATGGATAAGATAATTTCAGGCCGGAGATTATATACTGGTACATGGTGAAATGGATGAGGATAAATTTTATCACGGTGAAAGATTGGATGGCCAAACGGGTTTAGTACCATCAAATTACGTGGAACGTGTCCCAAATCAGCAATTATTACTGAATACATCCCGGGTTGGATCACCATCATTTCCTTTAACAGTACCTCCACATTTAACCCAAATTCAACATGATTTCTCCACTTCTTCAACTTATTCTGGTGCCGCAGGTACTGCTGCAACACTTCAGCCATTATCAACAACGCCACCACTGCCCGATTCTGTTTGCCCTTATCCACCAATTGATATTGCTAAAGTTACAGTGCAAGAAGTGAAGATTACCGATAATCCACGTGGTAAATTTTTCGTCATTTCACAACTAGCAGTAATTAAAACAAACAATTATTCTCTAAGTTAATGTTAACATTATCACAACATCGATAATCATTTATTTATTATCAACTAATTAATTGATTAATTAATAATCTTTCACATTAAAATAGCTTACATAGTTTATATTTGAAAATAAATATTAATTCATCGATTGATTTAAATTTATTTATCAGTTAACCAATCATATCTTCCATAATTGACACATTCTTATCTTCTAATCATAATTTTTTGTTTCCTTTCATACTTATATTTTAGAATATATATTTCATTTTTTCTATTATAATTATTTAGGGACTTTTCATTAATTTACCTTTTATTAATCACTACCTACTAATAATAAATAAAGCAAATCTATTGTTTTAGGCTTTTATATAATTAAATTAATTTAGTTATTATTTTATGTTAATTATTGTACGAGCAATGAAAGAAAGAAAAATTAAAAATTATAAGCAAATTGTGTGTTTGTTTAAACAATTGAACTTAATTAATTATAATACATATTAATTACAGTCTTTAGTATATACATATATATATATATATATATATTATGTTTTATAAAGTTAGCAAAAATTTGGATGAAATTGATTATCATTTACTCTGATGATAAAGATAAATATATTGATTATCTATATAATCGAACTTAATTAATTATAATACATATTAATTACAGTCTTTAGTATATGCACATATGCTCTATAAAATTAGCAATAATTTGGATGAAATTGATTATCATCCATTCTGATGATAAAGATAAGCGTACTGATTATCATTATTATGATAACGATAGATACATAATGTTATCACATTAAATAATTTCATAAAATATATTACATAAAAAAGTTTTTCTTTTTTTCAACAATTTTACTTCAAATTTTATTTTTGTTGTTTCCATACTTTTTTCTTGTTATAATATTAGTATTAAATTTATTCAATTTATTGTAAAAATTTTCAATTTATCCTCCCTCTCTCCCTCTCTCCCTCTCTCTCTCTCTCCCTCTCCCTGCCAATATTATTCTTCAAATTTATCAATAATATATATATATGTAATGATATAATATATATGTAATAATAATAATATATATGAAATTTTATTTTTATCATCCATTCCTAAAAAATGATCAAAATTTTTTGAATAAAATTAATTTAGGTTAGAAAAAATTTGCATAAAATTAATTTAGGTTCAAAAAAACTCATTCAATTTTTTGATGGTTGCAAATTTAAAATATAAATTTTTAAATAATTATCAATAATGTATAGTTAAATATATAGCGCAGTTATATTAAGTATCACTAAAATTCTAAACTAAAACAATCGTAAATGACAAAAATTTGAAATTATAAATTTTAATAATAATAATAATTGATAATAATAATAGAATAACAATGATAACAATAAGAATTAATGATTGATAATAATTAAAAAAAAATGATTGATAATAATTAATAAAAATAATGGAATAATAATGATAATAATAATTATTAATAATAATTAATAGTAATTAATAATAATAGAATAATAATAATGATAATAATAATTAATAATAATTAACAATTCATAATAATTAATGATAAAAACTTGATAAAAAATTTAAAATTATCAAAAATAAAGCGAATAATTTATAAGCATATATTATTGAAAATATACAATTTCATTTTACATTTAATTTTCGAAATTTTCTGAAATTAACTAATTGTAATATCAAACGCAAAGTTTCTCTACTTAGTTAGTTATATATTATATGATGACCTATTAGATATTATATCATACTTAATTACTTTAATCTATATTCCATTAATGTTTTCGGGAATCATTACTCTTTAATACATTCTCATTTATTTGATAGTTTTACTCATATCTTTATTACAATCATTAAATGTGACATTGACATTGTGGTGACATAATGCACATATCACGTGATTACGTGATATATGCAATATTATATAATCATGAAAATTACGTGTGAATTATCAAAATGGATGTTTCGTAAGAAAATTTAAAAACATGCACAAATATAATATATTTAAACATTATAATATCATGATTATAATTTAATTTTTATGATGATAAAAAAATTTTTTATTTTAATTTATTAAAGATATTTTCAATGAAAATTATTATTTAAATAGTATATTCATTTAATGGAATTGTTATTTAATATTCAAAAATAATTATAGTTATAATTATAGTTATATAAAAATTATAGTTATAATATTTTATAATTATACAAAAATTATAGTTATAATATTCAATTCAATAATAAAAAACATTGTTATTTTACGTTTATATAATGTTTTTCCGAAATTTTATAACTATTTCAAATTTATAACAATTCAGTTCAATTATATGAAATTAAATGTGATATAATTTTTTGCATTATATCGAAAATTATACAATCTGCCGATTTGCAACTTTTCATTTTCAAAAATTATTATTTCCCAATTTTAAAATTATAATGAACTTTAATATCAGAATTATAAATTCGAAATATAAAATTTTTTTGATTGATATTCTTTTATCTGTCAAGAAGTAAATAATGAATTTACAACAACGTTACAATTTCGATATTAAATTTCATTATAATTTTATATAAAAATCATGTTCAAAATATATCACTTATCATTTAGTAGTATTTTTTGAACTAAATAAATAAATCATTTCTTACGATTGGATAGAATATGCTAAATTGATATTAGGATAGAATGTGATGGTTAAAATTTGGTAATAAACAAAAATGAATTTCTACATTAATAATGTCTTTCAAATAGTTTCCATGTATTAAGCGTATCTAATCGTATTTGCATGATATCGTATCATAACCTATCATATCGAATCGTAATATTTTATCAAAATGAGATATAATTGAAAATTAAAAACAATTATTATGAATTTATTTTATTGTTATTTTTTTTTTTTGTTGAAAGAAAGATTTAAATTTTAGCAATAATTTTCGATAGTTATAATATTTCATGTATCCGATACATTATTTAGAATTTATATTACTACAGTTTTACTAAATTACTAAATTACTAATTAAATTATTTTACTAAATTGCTAATATAATTTTACTAATTTAATATTTGATATATTCGACACATCATTTGGAATTTAAATTACTATAATTTTACTAAATTGCTAAATTACTAATAAAATTATTTTACTAAATTGCTAATATAATATTACTAAATTTTGCCAAATTTAAATTACTAAATTACAAATATTTTATTCTATTATTTATATTTCAATTATTTAAGCTAATATTCAATTCCTCCTTTCTTTTCGAAGATAAAAATTAATTCATTAATTAAAACAATAATTTGATCATAATTTATCATTTTAATAAATAAATCGAAAAAAGAAAATTATTCCTTTTTTTTTCATTTAATTTTTACATTTAATTATTTAATAATAATTTGTTTAACAATAAATTAGTTATCATTTAACAATGATTGTTCAATAAATTCAATAATTTTTTTATCATAAACAAATACTGATAAGTATTTCAATATTTAACGATACTATTATCATTACTACTATTATAATAATAATTATTATAGTAATTATTGTTGATTATTATTAGCATTATTGTTACTAATATTATTATTACTACTATTAAAACAATAATTATTATTATTCATTTATTGTTATTATTAGTCATTATCATTAATTATTATTAATTATTCTTATCATCATTATTACTATTAATATTATTACTATTATTACTAATAATTATTATTACTATTAATTTTTCAACAATGACAATTTCTTTTTCATCTTTTTTTTTTGGAATTTAAATTTAAATTTTTGTCTAATTTTCATTGTTTTTTTCTTTTGTTTATTTCAATAATTTCCTTTTTATATAATTAATAGAAAAATTTAATTTAATATATATTTTTAGTCTTATTATTGCATAGATTTGTCATCAACTTATTTATACTCAATGAAAATATTGACTTCTTTTTATCTTTATCAAAGAAACGAAAGAAGAAAAGAAAGAGAGAGAGGGAGAGAGAGAGAGAAAGAGAAAGAAAGAGGAAAAAAAAACCACAAATGAACGAAGTTTTGGATATACCGTTTTTGCTTTTTCAATTTATCTTAAACGGAAGAAAAGAGATGAGGCCTAAAAAGAGAGAAAGCTAATGTAATCCTTCTTCTTTTAGGCTTCCATCCTAGACATCTAGTTCCGCTTTTAGTTTAAAGTCTTAGACTTTTATGTATTACCTTACTTAAGGCATTTTCTCAATGATAAAAACAATATATGTTATAAATACAATTTCTCTCTCTCTCTCTCTCTCTCTCTCTCTTCTAATATTACGAAAGAAAAAAGGTTTTCATTGATGAATGTTTTGAAAGGGAATGAATATATATACACTACCATCATGCAATGATTATTTAGGCATAGAAGTAAGTAAGTAAGCATGCAAGCTTAAGTTATTGAAAAAGTCTAAAGATTTGAAAATTGGAAAAAATGTAGAAGTCAGACGAAATAGATAAATGTTATTAGATACTATACACAGACATACACATACACATACACACACATACACACAGACATACATACACACATACACAGTTATTAGACACTATACACAGACATACACATACACATACACACATACACACAGATATACATACACACATACACAGTTATTAGACACTATACACAGGCATACACATACACATACACACATACACACATACACACAGATATACATACAAACATACACAGTTATTAGACACTATACACAGGCATACACATACACATACATACGGACATACATACATACACAGTTATTAGACACTATACACAGACATACACATACACACATACACATACACATAGACATACATACATACACAGTTATTAGACACTATACACAGGCATACACATACACATACACATACACACAGACATACATACAGACATACAAACAATGTTAGAGAATTTCTGCCTTTTATTGATTTTCCTTTCACTGTGATAAAATTAGAAAAAAAGAAATAGAAATTATATTAGTTAGGAAAAAAAGAAAGAGTAAATATTAAGAGGAATATAACAGGGAAATATCAAGATAAAAATAAATATATTAATTATAGTGATAATAATCATTAATAATTGAGATAATAATTAATAATACTAGAATAATAATGATAATAATCATTAATAATAGTAATAATTGACAATAATTATTTGTAATAATGGAATAATAATGATAATAGTAAATTAATAATAATTTATAATTGATAATAATTAATAATAACAATAATAGAATAATATTGATAATAATTAATAATAAAAATCGATAATAATTAATAATATTAAAATAATAATGATAATAATAATTGATAATCATTATTAATAATGACAATAATAATAATAATAATAATCGATAATAATTAATAATAGTAATAGAATAATAATGATAATAATAATAATAATTGATAGTAATTAATAATAATGACGATAATAATTAATAATAATAATCGATAAAAATTAATAATAATAATATTAGAATAATCATGATAAAAATAATAATATAATTAATAATAATTAATAGTGATAATAAGAGAATAATAATGTTAATAATAAGTAATAATAATAATAATAATTGATAATAATTAATAATAATAATAATAATAATAATCCATTTATCATAACGAATATTAATTTTTATATTAAAATGAATTAAAAAATTTTTGCTAAAATAATTGAATTAATTTTTTGTGGCAAACAAATTATTGTAATACAATATAGTTATAATAGTAAAATGTTATAATATTAAAAATTAATTATAAGATAAAAGTAATAATAATAAAGTTGATAATAATTAATAATAATAATAATAATAATTGATAATATGTAATGATTAATAATCCATTTATCATAACGCACATTAATTTTCATATTAAAATGAAATAAAAAATTTTGCTAAAACAATTGAATTAATTTTTTGTGGTAATTAAATTATTGTAATACGATATTAAAATTATAGTAAAATGTTGAAATATTAAAAATTATTAATAGGATAGAAATAATTATTATCGATCTTTAGAGATGTAATTTAATATAATTTCATCAAAATATTATATATAATTTCATTACATATAGTAATAATTAATATAAATATATTAATAGCATTTAATTTATAATTAAAATTAATTGCATAAAAATTAATAAATGATAAATATTGATGATGAAAACAATTAAATATTCCGATAATATTATATAATCCCTCAATTTGCTAATCGATATTTTCATATAATTTTAAATGATAATACTTTTTATTCTTTAATTATATATTACAATTTCTATTCGAATGTTAATTTATTAAATCTTTTAATCGATATTTGTTTATTTATTTACTTTTACCTAACCTTTTTACCAACCTAAAAAACAAACATTTTTTTCAGTGCCTTTTCCACAAGAGCTAACAGTGGAGAAGAAGATGAGTCGTAGTTGTGTTATCTCATGGTCTGCACCTGATGATTCATTAACACCAGTATCACAGTATCATGTTTGCGTTGATGGTATTGTTCGTGCTGTAGTACCAGGATCTTTCAAGTGTAAAGCATTGATTGAAGATATCGATTTATCAAAACCTATTAATCTATCAGTGCGTGCTGTAACCGAAAATAGACATAGTCCAGATGCTGCATGTACTATTTCATTGGGAAAAGGTTGCTGATATTTTATTAGGGAAATTCGAATTATAAGAGATATCCGGTTAATATATTGAAATATAAGAGATATCCGGTTAATATATTAAAATATAAGAGATATTCGGTTAATATATTGAAATATAAGAGATATTCGGTTAATGTATTAAAATATAAGAGATATTCGGTTAATCATTGAAATATATGAGAGATCCAGTCAATATATTGAAATATATGAGAAGTCCGATTAATATATTGAAATATAAGAGAGATCCGGTTAATATATTGAAATATAAGAGAGATCCGGTTAATATATTGAAATATATGAGAAGCCCGGTTAATATATGAAATATAAGAGAGATCCGGTTAATATATTGAAATATAGAAGATATTCGGTTAATATATTGAAATATAAGAGATGTTCAATTAATACATTGAAATATATGAGAGATCCAGTCAATATATTGAAATATATGAGAAGTCCGGTTAATATATTGAAATATAAGAGAGATACGGTTGATGTATTGAAATGTAGAAGATATTTGGTTAATATATTGAAATATAAGAGATATTCGATTAATACATTGAAATATATGAGAGATCCGGTTAATATATTGAAATATAATGGATATCCGGTTAATGTATTAAAGTACAAGAGATATCCGGTTAATATCAGCATCTTCTTAATTTTTCTTTAATCATGCTTTTAAAAATTTTTAAAAATTCAAAAACAAAAAGAACTCTTAATTTACTTTTATAAAATGATACAATTTAAAGTTTATTTATATATTTAAATCTTTTAATTTTTTTTTCCCCTATACTTATTAATTAATTTAGATGCACCAATAGCTCCACAACATGTTCGTATCTGGTCGATAACACCAATATCAGCATGTGTTTCATGGTATCCAAGTAATAGTAATGCGGAACATGTTATTCTTCTCAATGCGGTAAAAGTTGGAATGTGCCCACCTTCTGTCTTTCAGGTAAAAAAAATTTATTAAATTTTAATAAAATATTTTCTTTCATTATCGATACTATTTGATATTATGATATTATAAACAAAATATGAAATTGAAAAGTTTATTTCTTATAAAATAAAATTTTATATATTATTCGTATATATTTTAATCAAATTAGTTTTACCTATAAGTGAGATTAATAATGTTATTTTATATTATTTACCTGTTTAAAAAAGGTATCTATAAAAATTCGTCATTTTTATTAAAAATGTATGAATAATAAATGTATGCGTATTTAATTAATTATTTAATAATTTTTATATTTATTATAGGTGCAGCTGAATGGTCTTTTACCTTCAACAATCTATCGCATCTCTGTGCGTACCAAACAACCGAAAGCTGTCTTAGAGCAACGACCTGTCGAACGCTGCTGCGATTTCAAAACGCTGCCAAAAAGTTTCTAAATATTTTTTATAGTTTAAATGATATAATAATTTAAATATAACAAATTTATTAGTGAAAAAGAATTATGATTTAATATTACTTTTGTTAAATGTTAATAACTAAATCAATTATAATTTTTTAAATGGATTATTTATAATTACTAATAATTACTATCATTGATACTATCAATTTTTTTTATTATTAAAATTTTAAAGCTAATAATTATATTGTGATATACATTTTATTTCGCTATATAATCCGATTAAAATACACGCTGCAAAATTTCAGTCGGTCTTCCGGATCCGCCTTCTAATGTACAGGTTGAAATGGGTCCACAACCTGGTACACTTTTGATTTCCTGGACACCGGTCACTAATCAACCATTACCACCATCTCGTGCTGCTGTAAATTCCTATCTAATTTATGCTGATGGTCGTAATATTGCTCAAGTGCCCAGTGTAAATGGTAAGTATAGCAAATTTATATTTCAGTTAAATTATTTTTTCCTAAAATTTTTATTAAAATACTTGAAATTTTATAATTAAATTAATTTGTAAAGAATTAAATTTAATTTAATTATAAATCTATTACTTTTAATATATCATATGTTTTATATGTATAATATCTATCATTTAACTTTGAATTCTTCTCTTTAACTCATTTAATTTTTGTTATATTAAACTCAATTAATTTTTACTTTATTTTTATCATCTTTCTTTTATACCGAAAATATTTTATCGATAAGAAGTTCTTATCATTTGAAAATGATTTGCAACAAATTATAATCGATTCTTTCTTCTTTCTCCTTTTTCTTTTTAACATGCCGTTCCATATTCAATAATTCAATATTCAATACTCAATATCCAATAATTCAATAATTCAATACTCAGTACCCAATAATTCAATAATTCAATAATTCAATACTCAATATTCAATAATTCAATAATTCAATACTCAATATTCAATAATTCAATAATTCAATACTCAATATCCAATAATTCAATATTCAATATTCAATATTCAATATTCAGTATTCAACATTCAATATCCAATAATTCAATAATTCAGTGCATAACTTGTTTATACCAATAAATGGTTCTTTGTTTTTCATCTTTTTCCATCAATATAAAAAGTAATAGATTTTGGAATTTTTTAAATTTTAAAATTCCAACAATTTTTTGCATTTTTTTTATCTCAAAAGGTTTTCATTTAGAAATATTTTTTAGTATAAAGTATTTATAGTTTAGTATATGAAAATATTAAATTTATCTGATATTTAAATTATTTCTTCTCTATAAAAAGTTCGCTATAAAAGAATGAAATTATTATAAACTATAAAATTAATTATTGAAATTTCATCAGTGAAATAAAATATACATATGATATAAATTTTTTTCCTGATTTCATCATAAATAATAGCTAAACATCTGATAAGATGATTAGGTTTTAGGTGCTTAAAAAGTATAAATCTTATATAGCCTGAAGGCATTTCAAAACTTCTCATTTTAAATTACCTTAATAATTAAACCAATTTCTCTCATTGATCTTTCTCAATTTATTATTTTTGAAAATAAGTGAAATTTAGTTTATAAAATTAATTTTTCTTAATTTAGAAATAAATTTGAATTTAAATTTGAATAAATTTTATTTTGATTTAAGTTTGAAAAGCTTTTCAAATCTTTAAAATTACCTTATGAAATTGCAATATGCTAATTATAGGAAAAATAGCAAAAGTATAAAAAGTAAAAATCCATTCGCAAATCTTTTTTTTTACAGTAAAAATTTTTTTATAATAAAAATCCATGCAAATTTTTATTAATAATTATTAGTATTAGCATTAAAGTTTTAATTATTATATTAGTTAAATTGTTTTTAATTTATAAAAAACAAAATTTGATTGAAATTTTTTTTTAACAAAAATTTAATTCCATATGTCCCAAAAAAATATAAACTTTATCAATTTGTTTTCTTTTAAAAATACATAATACTTATTTTGCAAATTTATTGTAAACAATTGTAATCGAAAATTTCCTTTCTTTTGTTTTAGCTATTTTAAAAATTAAAACTTTTCAAAATATTTCCAAATCAATTCGGTTGCATAAATTTTCATGCGGAGACGTTTTGCAAAAAGAAGTTCCCAATTAATTAAATTACTTGACGTTTTTTTCGGGTGTAATTTTTTTCGGAAACTTTTAATTCGTTGTATTTTTGAACTTTGACATCTTCATAAACTGTATCAACTTATTTTTTTAATTTTTTCGAAATCGTTATAATTTTGAACTTTGATCTTCATAAACTTTATCAATTTATTTATTTTTAAAAACACTTAATTTGTTACTAACGTTTTTTTTTCTTGTTGTAAATAATCTTTTTATGAATTTTAACATTTTCATTTCTTAAAACATAAATTACAGCAAAGCTACTTATCATACAATGAAATCAATTAATCATATTTGATAGATAAAAAAAGGTGAAGATAAATGATATGATAAAAAGGTCAAGATAAAAAAAAGGTCATTGTATACTTTTTTCTTTCTCTCATTCTTTTCATTTCCTAAAACAATCAATAAAAGTAATGAATGATAAATTGGAAATCATATTTGATAAAAAGGTAAAAAGAAATGATATGATAAAAGGTCAAGATAAAAAAAGGTTATTTTGTACTTTTTTTTTCTTTCTTTCTTTTCATTTCTTAAAACAATCAATAAAATAATAAAATGATAAATTAGTTAACTCAACTATACGATTTCCATATTTCATCTATACTTTAACTATTATCCGAAACTTTTACATTTTTCTTTGTCTTATTTTTTCTCGTTCCATTTTCAAAAATTATCTCAAACTTCTTCAAAATGAAAAATGATTGATTATACCATTGGGATATGTGAAGAGAGAAAAAGAAAATAAGAGAAAGAAATTTTTCGTTTTAAATAGTCAAATTTAAAATTGATCAAATTTAGCAAAAGGCAAATAATCAATCCAATGATAAATTATTCAACGTGAAATTTTAACTAATTATTTGCTTAATTACTGAATAGATTAGAAGTTTCATTTCAAGTAATATATATTTATATATTTATATTATCGTTTAATGTTATATATTATTTCTCGTTGAATTTATCATTATATATTATTTTTTAGTTTATATATTATCGTTTATTGCTTATATATTATCATTATCGTTATTATATATTATCGTTTATATATTTATATATATATATTATTGGTAAGCGTGTGTTCGTGATTAATTTTGATCGCAATATTTATCGCCTTAAATATATTAAATGAT